AAAAAAAAAAAAAAAAAACACTAAGGTTTACACACCACACCGGCAGAGATTATGCATCATGCAGAGCCACTAACAAGCACACCACATTTTTACTTAGTCTATTGTTTGAACTTAGCCAATGGCTATGGTTTGTTTTACCCATGGTTTGTTGAATAAGGTACAATGGCTGGGTTCATACAACATACTAAGCTATAAATTTCATGGTTTTGCTTGTTCCTGCACATTGTGTACACCCATCCAATGTAGTTTGCAAATAATTGTTTATAGCTTAGTTCTTAAGCAAATCCACCAAACTGGATTCATATCAAATATGAATCAATGTTAAGCAAAATATGGCTTAGGATAATTTGTGAATACAACTGTGATGGCTTTGTGCAGTGTGCAAACTCAGTCAGGTTTGCAAATTGATTCTGGAAATTCAGGCAGAAGCCAAATGAAATTCAACTGGGATGCAGCCTTGGGGAGCTAACCAGGGGCTTTCTGGGAGTCTGATGCCAGATTGCTACTTTTGCAGATCCCTCTGTCTGATTTAGTAAACCCTGCTCCATAAGAGGTTACACATCCACAAATTGTTTTATTTAAACTTTCTTAGGAGCCCTTCTATTGTTTTTACCTCTGGGCTTCTCATTACCAGCTCCACTGTAGCCAATACAGGGCTTTTCGTTTCATTCCCCACAGCTTCCCCTGTGAGAGGGTTAATCATGTCCAAATGCTAAAAGCATCTGCAAGTCTCCAAACAATGCCCTCTGCCCCTGCCTTCCTCAGAAGCAAGCTGGATTCTTTCCAGCATGAGCTTTAGAAACAGAGAGAGCTTTGTGTCGGAAGCAATTCTCACCCAAGACCCACAGTTTTAACACTGGCACATGATCCTTGGAGGAGAGTTTGTCCCTCAGGAGCTGGATCATCCACGATCAGCTCCCTGCTGCCCCTCTTATTTCCTTCTGGTGCAGCTGGTTAAAGCAGATAACACTATGAGGTTGCGGGTTCTGAATTCTCCCTACAACAAGGAGGACAGGAATGTGAGAATTGTTTTTCTCTACAGAGCTCAGGGAGGCCTGGTGTTTAAGGGATCAGTGGATGGTATCTTGATTTTATCTGTGACAGCTTTCCCCAACTTGGACCCTCCGACTGTGTTCGGACAATCCCCAGAATTTTTAGCCAGCATGGTGGAAGAGTCTTGCTGGCTAGAAATTTTGGAAATCACAATCCTAACATACCTGATCAAAGTGATTTGTTTAACTACAGCATATTGGGACTGAGGCTCTGGAATTTTGGGCAATTTGGTTCTAGAAGGGGAGGAGCATCCACTGGGGTAAGTGGCACCATATTATATAAGTCCTGCAGGCAATTATCAGACCCCAGGGAATGGCAAGAGTCCTGAGATCTAATTGGCTAGTCCATTGAACTAATGCAAATAATTGATGGATGGTTTTCTTTTACACCTTTGACAGCAAAATCAGGCTCTCTGTTGGTCCAGAATTGTGCCCAGGTGTTGTAAACTGTGTACTGGTTGAAGGATGCTTTTTTCCCCTGTTGATCAGGAACCCTAGGTCCTTGAAGTTCTGCACTGTGATCCTTCCCCTGTTCATTCAATGGGAATCAGATAAAGAGGTCATCCAGGTAGGAGTACACATGTATTCCCAGGGATATGAGGTAGGCTGTGATGGTCATCATCACCTTTGTGAATTCTCTGGGTGCTGATGACAGGCCAGATGAAAGGACCTTGTACTGGTAGTGGGCACCATGGTATTTGAATCTTAAGAACTTCCTGTATAATGTGTTGATTAGGATGTGAAGATAGTTTTCTATAAGTCTAACAAGACCAGAGAGTCCTCTTTTTGAATACATTTTATGATGAATCTCAGGGTTTCCATTTGAAACTTGTAATATGTGATGTGGTGATATATTATTTAGAATCTAAGATAGCGTGCCAGTCTTTGTACAGAGAATGAAAACTGACATCACTATTCAATCATCCATATACTTAAGAGGTGATTTATAACTTTCAAGACTATTAAATATTTGGCCAATTTGCATAATCTGAGAGATGTGCAAAGATGGAAGGGGTGGGGGATGGGTGCTGTTGATGGTTTACCCTTGTAAGACAGCCTTTAACTCCCATATGTCTGATATGGATCCATAGATGGGTAAATTTCATTAGCTTCCTGCTCATTGGGAAGCTTAGTTAGTCACTGTTTTTATGTCCCCTCCTTTTGTGGGTGGGGTAAAGCATTGCTTCGGCTTGGGGTTGAGGTGGTGTGGCTAGTTTGGAGGTCCCTTCTCCACCCTCTCCTGGATGTTCCATGTCCCTTGTGTTCCAAAGGTTTGTTTTGAGTACAGCAGGAACAAAAATAATGAGTGGCGTAGTCTGATGTCTTTTGCCCTCACCTTT